GAGAGAGACCAGAGAGAGAGACCATAGAGAGAGACCAGAGAGAGAGACCAGAGAGAGAGAGACCAGAGAGAGACCAGAGAGAGAGACCAGAGAGAGACCAGAGAGAGACCAGAGAGAGAGACCAGAGAGAGACCAGAGAGAGAGACCAGAGAGACCAGAGAGAGACCAGAGAGAGAGACCAGAGAAAGACCAGAGAGAGACCAGAGAGAGAGACCAGAGAGAGACCAGAGAGAGACCAGAGAGAGAGACCAGAGAGAGACCAGAGAGAGACTAGTGAGAGACCAGAGAGAGACCAGAGAGAGACCAGAGAGAGACCAGAGAGAGACCAGAGAGAGAGACCAGAGAGAGACCATAGAGAGAGACCAGAGAGAGACCAGAGAGAGAGACCAGAGAGAGAGACCAGAGAGAGACCAGAGAGAGAGACCAGAGAGAGACCAGAGAGAGACCAGAGAGAGAGACCAGAGAGAGACCATAGAGAGAGACCAGAGAGAGAGACCAGAGAGAGAGACCAGAGAGAGACCAGAGAGAGAGACCAGAGAGAGACCAGAGAGAGAGGCCACAGAGAGACCAGAGAGAGACCAGAGAGAGAGACCAGAGAGAGACCAGAGAGAGAGGCCACAGAGAGACCAGAGAGAGACCAGAGAGAGAGACCAGAGAGAGAGGCCACAGAGAGACCAGAGAGAGACCAGAGAGAGAGACCAGAGAGAGACCAGAGAGAGAGACCAGAGAGAGAGACCAGAGAGAGACCAGAGAGAGAGACCAGAGAGAGACCAGAGAGAGAGGCCACAGAGAGACCAGAGAGAGAGACCAGAGAGAGAGACCAGAGAGAGACCAGAGAGAGAGACCAGAGAGAGACCAGAGAGAGAGACCAGAGAGAGACCAGAGAGAGACCAGAGAGAGACCAGAGAGAGAGACCATAGAGAGAGACCAGAGAGAGAGACCAGAGAGAGAGACCAGAGAGAGACCAGAGAGAGAGACCAGAGAGAGACCAGAGAGAGACCAGAGAGAGAGACCAGAGAGAGACCAGAGAGAGAGACCAGAGAGACCAGAGAGAGACCAGAGAGAGAGACCAGAGAAAGACCAGAGAGAGACCAGAGAGAGAGACCAGAGAGAGACCAGAGAGAGACCAGAGAGAGAGACCAGAGAGAGACCAGAGAGAGACTAGTGAGAGACCAGAGAGAGACCAGAGAGAGACCAGAGAGAGACCAGAGAGAGACCAGAGAGAGACCAGAGAGAGACCAGAGAGAGAGACCAGAGAGAGACCATAGAGAGAGACCAGAGAGAGACCAGAGAGAGAGACCAGAGAGAGAGACCAGAGAGAGACCAGAGAGAGAGACCAGAGAGAGACCAGAGAGAGACCAGAGAGAGAGAGACCAGAGAGAGACCATAGAGAGAGACCAGAGAGAGAGACCAGAGACCAGAGAGAGACCAGAGAGAGACCAGAGAGAGAGACCAGAGAGAGACCAGAGAGAGAGACCAGAGAGAGACCAGAGAGAGACCAGAGAGAGAGACCAGAGAGAGAGACCAGAGAGAGACCAGAGAGAGAGACCAGAGAGACCAGAGAGAGACCAGAGAGAGAGACCAGAGAAAGACCAGAGAGAGACCAGAGAGAGAGACTAGAGAGAGACCAGAGAGAGACCAGAGAGAGAGACCAGAGAGAGACCAGAGAGAGACTAGTGAGAGACCAGAGAGAGACCAGAGAGAGACTAGGCAAGGCAAGTTTATTTGTATAGCACAATTCATACACAAGGCAACTCAAAGCCCACTAAACATCCGACGTCCACTCAACCTCCAGATCACGTCAATATCGCGTCGGTCGGTCGTGACCTTTTATTCACGTCCAAACGACGTCTGTGCAAGGTGCGCATCTGGACGTAAAACAATGACCTCCCATATACGTGGATATGACGTCCAATCCCGACCTCCCCTAGACGTGGAAAACAGGTCATCGGCCGACCGACGCAGTACGTCTTGATCTAGCAATACAATATATAGGCTGTGAAGCAATATAAGTGTACCTGATGGTAGTGTAGTGGTTAAGCAGATGTGTGCAGCCTCGGTTACGTGAGTTCGAGCCCACGTGTGTGTATCATTATCTTTACATATTTGTTTAGATTTTTAGCAAACCAGAGAGACCAGAGAGAGACCAGAGAGACCAGAGAGAGACCAGAGAGACCAGAGAGAGAGACCAGAGAGAGACCAGAGAGAAACAAGAACGATAGTCAGAATGTACTCAAATTAAGATAAAAACAGTAGATTTAAGCAGTTATTACTCTCTCTTTGTTTCTGGGACCAAAGACAATCATTCCAGCTTTGAACTGAAAACTACACGCACACACACGCACACACACACGCACACACGCACACACACACGCACACACACAAAATAGTAGCTAATATGAGGTTCAAAGGTCGCTGAGGGGCTGATCAGTCGGGAGGCTTCTTTGTTGAATGTTTTATCTGTTGGACGTGGCTCACCTCTCGGACCGTAATGAGCACAATGTAACGAGGACAATGTCTGGATGTCAGTCTGAGCTCTGTTCAGGACCAGGAGGAGTCAGAGGTGAGACCAGCAGAGGCAAAACCAACAAAGGAAAAAAACAAGAACAGAACATGGAAGAGAGCGGCCGGAGTCGTGTTTCAGCGGCAACAGTAGCATCACATTAGTCCAGATTAGAACCAGGAAGTAGCATCACATTAGTCCAGACTGGAACCAGGAAGTAGCATCACATTAGTCCAGACTAGTCCCAGGAAGTAGCATCACTTTAGTCCAGACTAGTCCCAGGAAGTAGCATCACATTAGTCCAGATTAGAACCAGGAAGTAGCATCACATTAGTCCAGACTGGAACCAGGAAGTAGCATCACATTAGTCCAGATTAGAACCAGGAAGTAGCATCACATTAGTCCAGATTAGAACCAGGAAGTAGCATCACATTAGTCCAGACTGGAACCAGGAAGTAGCATCACATTAGTCCAGATTAGAACCAGGAAGTAGCATCACATTAGTCCAGACTGGAACCAGGAAGTAGCATCACATTAGTCCAGATTAGAACCAGGAAGTAGCATCACATTAGTCCAGACTGGAACCAGGAAGTAGCATCACATTAGTCCAGATTAGAACCAGGAAGTAGAATCACATTAGTCCAGACTAGAACCAGGAAGTAGCATCACATTAGTCCGGACAAGAACTAGTAAGTAGCATCACAGTAGACCAGATTAGAACCAGGAAGTAAAATCACATTAATCCAGAGGCTGGACTAAACATATAAACATGTCTTCTCTGGTCTTGCCTCTAAACACGAATGTCCCTCGACATCGCAAACAGACAATCACAAAAAACATCACACACACAGAGTAAAGACATTTTCCATTTATTTTCAATTTAGATCATGTTTTTTTTTTTTTACAGATATATATGAGAAAAACCTTTTATACAAAATCAGTGATGGCACAGAATAATGAAGAGTGATAAAATACTGGCTTTAAAATTACAATTCATCTTTTACGACATTTACATTTTATACACGAACAGATACGGATCAACCGTTTGATGGACTGATGCAGCCGACCATTGTACAAGGTAGAAAAGTGTCTCAAAAACACAAAACGCCAGGTTCCGTCAGGACCGGGGGCTCCGCAGGGGGCTCCGCAGGGTTCAACACTCGGCACGTTTACGTTTACAGCAGGACGTCAAACTCAGAAGCTGAATTTAACCTCAAAGAACACGGACGTACAAATATCTCATGAGAAAAAGTTTGCTTAGTTTTGTCAACGGGGATTATTATATGTTTGCTTCTTGGGTTCTTTGGGTAATTATTTGATGACTTAAACCAAAAGTTTAATGCTAAAGTTAGAGATTTTATACTAGCTTCTTTATTATGCTAAAGTTAGAGATTTTAGACTAGCTTCTTTATTATGCTAAAGCTAGAGATTTTATACAAGCTTCTTTATTATGCTAAAGCTAGAGATTTTAGACTAGCTTCTTTGTTATGCTAAAGCTAGAGATTTTAGACTAGCTTCTTTGTTATGCTAAAGTTAGAGGTTTTATACTAGCTTCTTTATTATGCTAAAGCTAGAGATTTTAGACTAGCTTCTTTATTATGCTAAAGCTAGAGATTTTATACTAGCTTCTTTATTATGCTAAAGCTAGAGATTTTAGACTAGCTTCTTTGTTATGCTAAAGCTACAGATGTTGTACTAGCTTCTTTGTTATGCTAAAGTTAGAGGTTTTATACTAGCTTCTTTATTATGCTAAAGTTAGAGATTTTAGACTAGCTTCTTTATTATGCTAAAGCTAGAGATTTTAGACTAGCTTCTTTGTTATGCTAAAGCCAGACATTTTTGACTAGCTTCTTTGTTATGCTAAAGCTAGAGATTTTTGACTAGCTTCTTTGTTATGCTAAATCCAGACATTTTTGACTAGCTTCTTTATTATGCTAAAGCTAGAGATTTTAGACTAGCTTCTTTGTTATGCTAAAGCTAGAGATTTTTGACTAGCTTCTTTGTTATGCTAAAGCTAGAGATTTTTGCTAAAGGGCCAAAAGTGAATCGTTAATTTGCAAAAACATATAATTTAAAATGATCAGAGAGGTACGATTTCCCCTTTTGTCTTTTTGTGTAAAGCCGGTAATAAAGCCGGTAGCAGGTAATAATAAAGTTTCACCTTTTCTTGTGTAAATTTGTTCATATTTACTGCCAATAACAAAAATATATTGACGATTGTTACTGATGGAATGCAACTTTTTGACAACATTTCATAAGGTAGAGGTCTGTTTTTTGCAAATTCAATGTTTATTTTGTCGTGGCCCTGAATCGCAACAGCAGTCGTCTCAGGAAAGGCCTTCTCTAAGTTGTCGATGCCTCAACAACAGATCAGAGAATCAGGAAGTTTGAACACGGGGGATGCAATAATAACACACGCTGTAGAAGCCGTTGGTCCATAGGAAGCGGGATCACTGTCTGGGAATGTTAATAAAACTCTATAAATGTTAATAAAACTCTATAAAACCAATGGATTTGAAAGAATAGCAAAGTTCATGATGACAAAGGAGATTAAAGAACAACCGTCACCCGCGAAAATATCAGATCCAGGGCTTTTCTGAACTGATAAATTAGCTCTATTGTGGTTTTGTTTTAGTTTAGCTTCCTGTTCCCCTTTGGTCGACCTCTGTCCGTCCCTGTGTCTCTGCGTCCCTGTGTCTCTGTGTCTCTGCGTCCCTGTGTCTCTGCGTCCCTGTGTCTCTGCGTCCCTGTGTCTCTGTGTCTCTGCGTCCCTGTGTCTCTGCGTCCCTGTGTCTCTGCGTCCCTGTGTCTCTGCGTCCCTGTGTCTCTGCGTCCCTGTGTCTCTGTGTCTCTGCGTCCCTGTGTCTCTGCGTCTCTGTGTCTCTGTGTCTCTGTGTCTCTGTGTCTCTGTGTCTCTGAGTCTCTGTGTCTCTGTGTCTCTGTGTCTCTGCGTCTCTGAGTCTCTGTGTCTCTGTGTCTCTGTGTCTCTGAGTCTCTGAGTCTCTGAGTCTCTGTGTCTCTGTGTCTCTGAGTCTCTGCGTCTCTGCGTCTCTGCGTCTCTGAGTCTCTGTGTCTCTGTGTCTCTGTGTCTCTGTGTCTCTGAGTCTCTGTGTCTCTGTGTCTCTGTGTCTCTGCGTCTCTGCGTCTCTGTGTCTCTGTGTCTCTGCGTCTCTGCGTCCCTGCGTCTCTGCGTCCCTGGGTCTCTGCGTCCCTGTGTCTCTGCGTCCCTGTGTCTCTGCGTCCCTGTGTCTCTGCGTCCCTGTGTCTCTGCGTCCCTGTGTCTCTGCGTCCCTGCGTCTCTGCGTCCCTGCGTCTCTGCGTCCTGCGTCTCTGCGTCCCTGCGTCTCTGCGTCCCTGCGTCTCTGCGTCCCTGCGTCTCTGCGTCCCTGTGTCTCTGCGTCCCTGTGTCTCTGCGTCCCTGTGTCTCTGTGTCTCTGTGTCTCTGTGTCTCTGTGTCTCTGTGTCTCTGTGTCTCTGTGTCTCTGTGTCTCTGTGTCTCTGTGTCTCTGTGTCTCTGTGTCTCTGTGTCTCTGCGTCTCTGAGTCTCTGTGTCTCTGTGTCTCTGTGTCTCTGTGTCTCTGTGTCTCTGCGTCCCTGTGTCTCTGCGTCCCTGTGTCTCTGCGTCTCTGCGTCCCTGCGTCTCTGCGTCCCTGGGTCTCTGCGTCCCTGTGTCTCTGCGTCCCTGTGTCTCTGCGTCCCTGTGTCTCTGCGTCCCTGTGTCTCTGCGTCCCTGCGTCTCTGCGTCTCTGCGTCCCTGCGTCTCTGCGTCCCTGCGTCTCTGCGTCCCTGGGTCTCTGCGTCCCTGTGTCTCTGCGTCCCTGTGTCTCTGCGTCCCTGTGTCTCTGCGTCCCTGTGTCTCTGCGTCCCTGCGTCTCTGCGTCTGCCCTGCGTCTCTGCGTCCCTGCGTCTCTGCGTCCCTGCGTCTCTGCGTCCCTGCGTCTCTGCGTCCTGCGTCCTGCGTCCTGCGTCTCTGCGTCCCTGCGTCTCTGCGTCCCTGTGTCTCTGCGTCCCTGTGTCTCTGCGTCTCTGCGTCCCTGCGTCTCTGCGTCCCTGTGTCTCTGCGTCCCTGTGTCTCTGCGTCCCTGTGTCTCTGCGTCCCTGTGTCTCTGCGTCCCTGTGTCTCTGCGTCCCTGTGTCTCTGCGTCCCTGTGTCTCTGCGTCCCTGCGTCTCTGCGTCCCTGCGTCTCTGCGTCTCTGCGTCCCTGGGTCTCTGCGTCCCTGGGTCTCTGCGTCCCTGTGTCTCTGCGTCCCTGTGTCTCTGCGTCCCTGTGTCTCTGCGTCCCTGTGTCTCTGCGTCCCTGTGTCTCTGCGTCCCTGCGTCTCTGCGTCTCTGCGTCCCTGCGTCTCTGCGTCTCTGCGTCCCTGTGTCTCTGCGTCCCTGTGTCTCTGCGTCCCTGTGTCTCTGCGTCCCTGGTCTCTGCGTCCCTGCGTCTCTGCGTCTCTGCGTCCCTGCGTCTCTGCGTCCCTGTGTCTCTGCGTCCCTGTGTCTCTGCGTCCCTGTGTCTCTGCGTCCCTGTGTCTCTGCGTCCCTGTGTCTCTGCGTCCCTGTGTCTCTGCGTCCCTGCGTCTCTGCGTCTCTGCGTCCCTGTGTCTCTGCGTCCCTGTGTCTCTGCGTCCCTGTGTCTCTGCGTCCCTGTGTCTCTGCGTCCCTGTGTCTCTGCGTCTCTGCGTCCCTGTGTCTCTGCGTCCCTGTGTCTCTGCGTCCCTGTGTCTCTGTGTCTCTGCGTCCTGTGTCTCTGCGTCCCTGTGTCTCTGCGTCCCTGTGTCTCTGCGTCCCTGTGTCTCTGCGTCCCTGTGTCTCTGGTCCCTGTGTCTCGGTCTGTGTCGTCTGTGTCTCTGCGTCCCTGTGTCTCTGTGTCTCTGCGTCCCTGTGTCTCTGTGTCCCTGTGTCTCTGCGTCCCTGTGTCTCTGCGTCCCTGTGTCTCTGCGTCTCTGCGTCCCTGCGTCTCTGCGTCCCTGGGTCTCTGCGTCCCTGTGTCTCTGCGTCCCTGTGTCTCTGCGTCCCTGTGTCTCTGCGTCCCTGTGTCTCTGCGTCCCTGCGTCTCTGCGTCTCTGCGTCCCTGCGTCTCTGCGTCCCTGCGTCTCTGCGTCCCTGGGTCTCTGCGTCCGTGTCTCTGCGTCCCTGTGTCTCTGCGTCCCTGTGTCTCTGCGTCCCTGTGTCTCTGCGTCCCTGCGTCTCTGCGTCCCTGCGTCTCTGCGTCCCTGCGTCTCTGCGTCCCTGCGTCTCTGCGTCCCTGCGTCTCTGCGTCCCTGCGTCTCTGCGTCCCTGCGTCTCTGCGTCCCTGTGTCTCTGCGTCCCTGTGTCTCTGCGTCTCTGCGTCCCTGCGTCTCTGCGTCCCTGTGTCTCTGCGTCCCTGTGTCTCTGCGTCCCTGTGTCTCTGCGTCCCTGTGTCTCTGCGTCCCTGTGTCTCTGCGTCCCTGTGTCTCTGCGTCCCTGTGTCTCTGCGTCCCTGCGTCTCTGCGTCCCTGCGTCTCTGCGTCTCTGCGTCCCTGGGTCTCTGCGTCCCTGGGTCTCTGCGTCCCTGTGTCTCTGCGTCCCTGTGTCTCTGCGTCCCTGTGTCTCTGCGTCCCTGTGTCTCTGCGTCCCTGTGTCTCTGCGTCCCTGCGTCTCTGCGTCTCTGCGTCCCTGCGTCTCTGCGTCTCTGCGTCCCTGTGTCTCTGCGTCCCTGTGTCTCTGCGTCCCTGTGTCTCTGCTGGTCTCTGCGTCCTGCGTCTCTGCGTCTCTGCGTCCCTGCGTCTCTGCGTCCCTGTGTCTCTGCGTCCCTGTGTCTCTGCGTCCCTGTGTCTCTGCGTCCCTGTGTCTCTGCGTCCCTGTGTCTCTGCGTCCCTGTGTCTCTGCGTCCCTGTGTCTCTGCGTCCCTGCGTCTCTGCGTCTCTGCGTCCCTGTGTCTCTGCGTCCCTGTGTCTCTGCGTCCCTGTGTCTCTGCGTCCCTGTGTCTCTGCGTCCCTGTGTCCCTGTGTCTCTGCGTCCCTGTGTCTCTGCGTCCCTGTGTCTCTGCGTCCCTGTGTCTCTGTGTCTCTGCGTCCCTGTGTCTCTGCGTCCCTGTGTCTCTGCGTCCCTGTGTCTCTGCGTCCCTGTGTCCCTGTGTCTCTGCGTCCCTGTGTCTCTGTGTCCCTGTGTCTCTGCGTCCCTGTGTCTCTGCGTCCCTGTGTCTCTGCGTCTCTGCGTCCCTGTGTCTCTGCGTCCCTGTGTCTCTGCGTCCCTGTGTCTCTGCGTCCCTGCGTCCCTGTGTCTCTGCATCCCTGTGTCTCTGCGTCCCTGTGTCTCTGCGTCCCTGTGTCTCTGCGTCTCTGCGTCCCTGTGTCTCTGCGTCCCTGTGTCTCTGCGTCCCTGTGTCTCTGCATCCCTGTGTCTCTGCGTCCCTGTGTCTCTGCGTCCCTGTGTCTCTGCGTCTCTGCGTCCCTGTGTCTCTGCGTCTCTGTGTCTCTGCGTCCCTGCGTCTCTGCGTCCCTGTGTCTCTGCGTCCCTGTGTTTCTGCGTCCCTGTGTCTCTGCGTCCCTGTGTCTCTGCGTCCCTGTGTCCCTGTGTCTCTGCGTCCCTGTGTCTCTGCGTCCCTGTGTCTCTGCGTCCCTGTGTCTCTGCGTCCCTGTGTCTCTGCGTCCCTGTGCTCATCTCCATCTGGTCCATTGTCTTTGTCCGTCTTCCTGGTTCCTGTTTGGATTTATGAGTTTGTTTTTAACCACTTTTATTTCATTTATATCATTAAATCATATTGTTTTGGCATCCCCTGCTTTTTATGTGACGATAAGTGATGGGGAGGATTTTGGAAGTGTCCGTGGTCCTCCAGAGACAATCCTCCCTGCGGCTGTGAGACCTGGGCCTCATGACTGGGACCTCATGACTGGGACCTCATGACTGGGACATCATGACTGGGACCTCACGACAGGGTACTCATGACTGGGACCTCATGACTGGGACCTCACGACTGGGACCTCACGACAGGGTACTCATGACTGGGACCTCATGACTGGGACCTCACGACTGGGACCTCATGACTGGGACCTCATGACTGGGACCTCACGACTGGGACCTCACGACAGGGTACTCATGACTGGGACCTCATGACTGGGACCTCACGACTGGGACTTCATGACTGGGACCTCATGACTGGGACCTCACGACTGGGACCTCATGACTGGGACCTCATGACTGGGACCTCATGACTGGGACCTCACGACTGGGACCTCATGACTGGGACCTCATGACTGGGACATCATGACTGGGACCTCATGACTGGGACATCATGACTGGGACCTCATGACTGGGACATCATGACTGGGACCTCATGACTGGGACATCATGACTGGGACTTCACGACTGGGACCCTCATGACTGGGACCTCACGACTGGGACCTCACGACTGGGACCTCATGACTGGGACCTCACGACTGGGACCTCACGACAGGGTACTCATGACTGGGACTTCATGACTGGGACCTCATGACTGGGACCTCATGACTGGGACCTCACGACTGGGACCTCATGACTGGGACCTCATGACTGGGACCTCATGACTGGGACCTCACGACTGGGACCTCACGACTGGGACCTCATGACTGGGACCTCATGACTGGGACCTCACGACTGGGACCTCACGACAGGGTACTCATGACTGGGACTTCATGACTGGGACCTCATGACTGGGACCTCATGACTGGGACCTCATGACTGGGACCTCATGACTGGGACCTCACGACTGGGACCTCACGACTAGGACCTCATGACTGGGACCTCATGACTGGGACCTCACGACTGGGACCTCACGACAGGGTACTCATGACTGGGACTTCATGACTGGGACCTCATGACTGGGACCTCACGACTGGGACCTCATGACTGGGACCTCATGACTGGGACCTCACGACTGGGACCTCATGACTGGGACCTCATGACTGGGACATCATGACTGGGACCTCATGACTGGGACATCATGACTGGGACCTCATGACTGGGACTTCATGACTGGGACCTCATGACTGGGACTTCACGACTGGGACCCTCATGACTGGGACCTCACGACTGGGACCTCACGACTGGGACCTCATGACTGGGACCTCATGACTGGGACCTCACGACTGGGACCTCACGACAGGGTACTCATGACTGGGACTTCATGACTGGGACCTCATGACTGGGACCTCATGACTGGGACCTCACGACTGGGACCTCATGACTGGGACCTCATGACTGGGACCTCATGACTGGGACCTCACGACTGGGACCTCACGACTGGGACCTCATGACTGGGACCTCATGACTGGGACCTCACGACTGGGACCTCACGACAGGGTACTCATGACTGGGACTTCATGACTGGGACCTCATGACTGGGACCTCATGACTGGGACCTCATGACTGGGACCTCATGACTGGGACCTCACGACTGGGACCTCACGACTAGGACCTCATGACTGGGACCTCATGACTGGGACCTCACGACTGGGACCTCACGACAGGGTACTCATGACTGGGACTTCATGACTGGGACCTCATGACTGGGACCTCACGACTGGGACCTCATGACTGGGACCTCATGACTGGGACCTCACGACTGGGACCTCATGACTGGGACCTCATGACTGGGACATCATGACTGGGACCTCATGACTGGGACATCATGACTGGGACCTCATGACTGGGACATCATGACTGGGACCTCATGACTGGGACATCATGACTGGGACCTCACGACTGGGACCTCACGACTGGGACCTCACGACAGGGTCCTCATGACTGGGACATCATGACTGGGACCTCACGACTGGGACCTCACGACAGGGTACTCATGACTGGGACTTCATGACTGGGACCTCATGACTGGGACCTCACGACTGGGACCTCATGACTGGGACCTCATGACTGGGACATCATGACTGGGACCTCATGACTGGGACATCATGACTGGGACCTCATGACTGGGACATCATGACTGGGACATCATGACTGGGACTTCATGACTGGGACCTCATGACTGGGACCTCACGACTGGGACCTCACGACTGGGACCTCATGACTGGGACCTCATGACTGGGACCTCACGACTGGGACCTCACGACAGGGTACTCATGACTGGGACTTCATGACTGGGACCTCATGACTGGGACCTCACGACTGGGACCTCATGACTGGGACCTCATGACTGGGACTTCATGACTGGGACCTCATGACTGGGACCTCACGACTGGGACCTCATGACTGGGACCTCATGACTGGGACATCATGACTGGGACCTCATGACTGGGACATCATGACTGGGACCTCATGACTGGGACATCATGACTGGGACCTCATGACTGGGACATCATGACTGGGACATCATGACTGGGACTTCATGACTGGGACCTCATGACTGGGACCTCACGACTGGGACCTCACGACTGGGACCTCATGACTGGGACCTCATGACTGGGACCTCACGACTGGGACCTCACGACAGGGTACTCATGACTGGGACTTCATGACTGGGACCTCATGACTGGGACCTCACGACTGGGACCTCATGACTGGGACCTCATGACTGGGACTTCATGACTGGGACCTCATGACTGGGACCTCACGACTGGGACCTCATGACTGGGACCTCATGACTGGGACATCATGACTGGGACCTCATGACTGGGACATCATGACTGGGACCTCATGACTGGGACCTCATGACTGGGACCTCATGACTGGGACATCATGACTGGGACATCATGACTGGGACCTCATGACTGGGACATCATGACTGGGACCTCACGACTGGGACCTCACGACTGGGACCTCACGACAGGGTACTCATGACTGGGACATCATGACTGGGACCTCACGACTGGGACCTCACGACAGGGTACTCATGACTGGGACTTCATGACTGGGACCTCATGACTGGGACCTCACGACTGGGACCTCATGACTGGGACCTCATGACTGGGACATCATGACTGGGACCTCATGACTGGGACCTCACGACTGGGACCTCATGACTGGGACATCATGACTGGGACCTCATGACTGGGACATCATGACTGGGACCTCATGACTGGGACCTCACGACTGGGACCTCATGACTGGGACATCATGACTGGGACCTCATGACTGGGACCTCACGACTGGGACCTCATGACTGGGACCTCATGACTGGGACATCATGACTGGGACCTCATGACTGGGACCTCACGACTGGGACCTCATGACTGGGACATCATGACTGGGACCTCATGACTGGGACCTCACGACTGGGACCTCATGACTGGGACATCATGACTGGGACCTCATGACTGGGACATCATGACTGGGACCTCATGACTGGGACCTCATGACTGGGACATCATGACTGGGACCTCATGACTGGGACCTCACGACTGGGACCTCATGACTGGGACATCATGACTGGGACCTCATGACTGGGACCTCATGACTGGGACATCATGACTGGGACCTCATGACTGGGACATCATGACTGGGACCTCATGACTGGGACCTCACGACTGGGACATCATGACTGGGACCTCATGACTGGGACATCATGACTGGGACCTCATGACTGGGACCTCATGACTGGGACCTCACGACTGGGACCTCATGAATGGGACCTCACGACTGGGACATCATGACTGGGACCTCATGACTGGGACATCATGACTGGGACCTCATGACTGGGACCTCATGACTGGGACATGATGACTGGGACCTCATGACTGGGACTTCAAGACTGGGACCTCACGACTGGGAGCTCAGGACTGGGAGCTCAGGACTGGGACCTCACGACAGGGCGATCAGGACTGGGAGTTTAGGACTGGGATTATGCGACTGGGACCTCACGACTGGGAGCTCAGGACTGGGACCTCACGACTGGGAGCTCAGGACTGGGACCTCACGACTGGGAGCTCAGGACTGGGACCTCACGACTGGGAGCTTAGGACTGGGACCTCAGGACTGGGAACTTGCGACTGGGACCACAGGACTGGGACCACAGGACTGGGACCTCAGGACTGGGACCTCAGGACTGGGACCTCAGGACTAGGAACTTGCGACTGGGACCACAGGACTGGGACCTCAGGACTGGGACCACAAGGCCAGACTTCTGCCTCTGGTCTCTTTCCCAGAGCTCACTTCACTTAAAGAGCAACTAAACACCAAATCAACTTTTTTTAACTCATAAACTGCATAAGTATGTTTATTGTAGTGCTGTCTACATATCCTTATCATTTTTTTGACATTTTAGTTCAAATTAGATAAAATATCACTTTTGAGCCAAAAAACAGTGTGTGGCGCCCTCTCAACCTTTTTGGTGGTACTACATTTGAATTTGGTTCTGGCCTCTCCATTGACTCTGAAGTTCTCTATGACATCAGTTGTTTTGTGTGACGTCAGTCTGTCAGAGCCAGTGATGTGAACCCATTCAACTCTCACTCACGCCCCAGCTGCAGTTTGGAGTATTCTGGCGCCATCTAGTGGATTAAAATTAAATTACATGAGTCATTCTGAGATTATTGAGTGTGATTAGGTTCAGGTGTGTAGCTTTACAATTATCTTAGTGTGTAAACAAGGGTGGAATGAGACTTTCTGGTCTGTAAACTATTGCTTTAAGCAGCAATGACGACTGTCTGTTTTTTTTTTTTGTGACAAGTGAGCTGTCAATCACAGCCAGACCACGCCCAACTCTAAGCCCCCCTTCTTGTCCCTTAGTCCTCCAGGAAACGCCCTTTTTAGAGAAAAATTTCAAATCTTCATGTGGGCGGAGTTAGGCTGAGCACAGGTGTTTAGTCGCTCTTTAATGTGCAGTATAGAACCACATGTGTCCACTTGTCCCAGACCCTCAAGTACACACAGTACATACACACAACTATATATATACAGTATCAAGTACATACCACTATATTACTACAACATACATTATTTTTGTGCTTCTTTATGATGCAAAAGTTAGAGATTTTATTTTATTTTAGTACAGAGTTATTACTATACTGTCTATAGAGCTTAGACTCACAACAGGACAGAGGGAAAAAGAATAACTCCACTTTCAACCGTCAAACAGCTAATGCTAAGCTAACTCCTGACTTCATATGACTGTAGTGTTAGCCTTAATGCAGAAGAAGTCGAGCTGAACATAAGCTAGCAGGAGCCAAATTCCTTATATGGGCATATGTTCAGACGGCGTTAGCTACGTGCCGTAACAGGGCCAGACGTGTTGCTAAGACGGTTGCTAAGGCAAGCTGGTGTTTTTCCCTCGCGAATGAAGGCATCTGATTGGTCAATTCTTATATGGCTCATGTCTGGATTTACAAAGAAAATATCAAAAAATAAACACCAGGATCTAAAAGATTTTTTTATCCCAAAATGTTGAGTGTGACATAAACAGTTACTGAGCAAGAGGAGTTTACTTTTTCAATGTCAAGTCAATAGGAGCCCGAGCAAGATGGAGCCAAACTAGTCCCAGAACTTCCCTATCGCGCTTCATTGAGCTAGCATTGTTAGCATCGTTAGCATCATCCATCTGTATACAGTCTGTGAAGTGAGCGACAGGTTGGTCTCCTAGGCAACAATCGCGCCTCCATCACAGAAGCACAATTGACCAGAAGAATGTGGAGAATTTCCTGTTAGCTCTTGGGGGATGTGGTTTGTTTTTCCTGTTTTGGGGAGACTCCTTTTTTTCTCTCGCTACTATTTTTTTTTTCACTTCCTGCATCGATGACAGGTTTCCAAGAGGCCGGTGGAGGTGAAGCTAGACGCCACTGATTAGAGACTGAACTCAGAACCTCAGCCCCCAAAACAAACTATACTACATACTATTTATATCAAAGAAGACCTAAAAAACTGTTCTAGCCTGTTAGCTGTTAGCCGTTTTTGTTAGCTTTGAGGTCTGTGGTGCCCAAATATAACACATCCATGGCGCCAAACGATTTTTTCAAGAATAAAAGTGGTTTTGTTGGTTAAAAGTTAAAAGTTAAAAGACGTAATGAGTTCAACAACTATTTTCTGGTCGATTTTTCTGCACAAAATGAGTTTGGATTGAACCCAGACTGGACGATAACTACTGTATATGAAATTAAGAAAAGTTTTAGAATAAATTAAATGACATGGTTGCTTCCTGCTTAGACTGCAGGCCCTGCGACCCGGCAACGGATAAAGCGGAAGAAAATGGATGGCTTTAAAATGAGGTATAACATGCCATGGCAGCCATTTTAAGGTGTTACCATCAGAGGTGCAAGTTCAGGGGCCACGGTAGAACCCATGTGGTGCCCTGCTATCACACTTGTTCTGAATCGTTTCAAAGCCTAATTGTCGACAAACCAAACCGCAGCGGCCCCGTAGCCCACGGAGGATGTCCTGGTGGCTCTGGCCCCGGGGCCTCATGCCATGCTGCTGGTGGGAGTGCTCTGGGTGCTGCCGATGCTGGCGTTGGCGCTGCTGTTCTCCGACGGGGACGGGTTGGAGGAAACCGGCTGTCGCTTTGCTCCGGAACAAGGACATCCTGAAAAACAAACAAATATTATTTAAAGATTAATACTTCACACGTCAAAGGAAATGAATATAATATAATAAATAAGCCGTCGCACTTCACACCAGGAGTCTCAGAGCAGTCAGACTGAAACCCACACGCTCTCCACCGTGTGATTTTAAAATAAAACATTAATCTTAATAATAATAATGCATTGTTTTTATACAGCGCTTTCTGGACTCTCAAAGACGCTTCACATGTCATTGTTCATTCTCTCCAAACACAGTGGTGATAAACTACTGTAGCCACAGCTGCCCTGGGGCACACTGACAGAAGCGAGGCAACCAGTCTGTGCCATCAGCCCCTCCCCCCACCACCAACCATTCACACACACACCAGACTCATTCTAATGTTGGGGAAGTGTCTTGCCTAAGGACACAACGGCAGTTTGGCACTTTACAGCCGCAGCTGCCCCACTGTGGCACCTGCTGTTCCCAGAGGTTAAGTGTCTTGCCCAAGGACACAACAACAGTCGGTGGAGAAAGTCTTGTGGGGGGCTGGAACCAACAACTTACTGCTACTTTCGCCCCATTGATTTTAATTTTAAGGGCGACAGTGGCTCAGTTGGTAGAGCATTGGCCTTTGAGCCTGAAGGTCGTGGGTTCAAGCCCACCACGGGACCTTCTCCGCCGACTCCCACTGATGACTGCTGTCGTTGTGTCCTTGGGCAAGACACTTAACCCTGCATTGCCTGAAGCCCCCGCTGAAAAATCAAGGCTGTATTGTCACTGACAGAGCAGCCGTCCTCCTGTGGACTCACCACCTGCAGGAGGATCAGTGAGGGGCTGGTGCTCTGTGGACTGGGTGCAGCTCTGACTGCCACCCCCCGACCCAGAAATGGATTAAGGGGAAGAAAATGGATGGATGGATGATTTTAATTTGTAGGGCTTCTTGTTTTTTTTATTTTTCATTTATTCACTATATTTTATTTACCTTATCTGCATTTACTATGACGGCGATTAATTAATGTATATTTTTTTTAAATGTACTTATTTTTGTTTTAAAAAGGTACATAGGAGGATTTTCCCAATTTTTTTTTGAACAAAACTCTCTGGTCTTATTGGACGAGCAGGTATCAGCAGAATGATTGACACGTGGCAGGACCAATAGCTTTACTGATCCACCCGGAAGTAGAAAATCCTTCTTTAGACCTTTAAGTGGAACCTCAGGAAGATTAGCAGCCGCATTGGTGGAAGCTAATGGGGGCCCCTAATAAGCAATCAACAATAACATCAAGAAAAAGGTCTTACCCATTGTTGAAGTCAGGTCTAAACTCGTGGGGTATCCTGAAAAGCACAACATTATTGACATTATGATAACAGAACCCAGACACAAAAATCACACAGTTTTCTACCTGTTTTGATCTTGATGAACCACAGCGCTCCAATCAGCAGCACTCCAATCAGAAAGCCTCCGAACGCGACGCCCAGGACCCCGGGGAGCCCGAAGTCAAAGCAGTCCACGCCTGGAACACATGTTATACTGTACAGTCAATATGAGCCATAATCCGTTATTCAAATCTATGTTTCAGTATGTTTTGGTCATGGGGATATTTTCATTTTTAAAGGGACAGAGTACCTTTTTTTAATTCTCACCTCACATCAATAAAACCACCCAAACCTGCTTCTTTCACCTCTGCACCATCTCAAAGATTAAAAACATTCTCACTCCTCCCGATCTCCATAAAGTCGTCAACGCCCTCATCTTCTCCCGCCTCGACTACTGTAACGCCCTCCTCTCCGGTCTCGACGCTAAATCCCTCTCCCGCCTCCAACTGGTCCAGACGCAGCAGCCAGACTTCTCACTGGTTTTAACAGAAGGGAGCACATCACCCCTGTCTTAGCGTCCCTCCACTGGCTCCCTGTGCGTTTTAGAATTGATTTTAAGATTTTACTGATTACTTTTAAAGCTCATTTAGGTCTGGCACCAAGCTATATTTCTGAACTTTTAACCCCCTACGAGCCCCCGCGCAGCCTCAGATCCTCGGGCAGGTCCCTGTGACTGTTCCAAGGTCGAGGCTCCGGACGAAAGGAGACCGAGCCTTCTCTGTCCGGGCTCCTCGGCTTTGTATCTGTATGTATCTGATTATTTTGACTTTGCATTATGTTATTATTGTTTATCATGCTGACTGTGCAGCGCTTTGTAAACATTGTTTTTAAAAGTGCTATACAAATAAAGATTATTATTACAGTAATCATAAGCAGAGGCGTCCCGTGCCAACAGGCAAGGCAGGCGGCTGCCTGGGGCCCCCAAACAGGCAGGGGGCCCCCGAGGGCCGACTGATTTGACACAAGCGGTCGACTTGTACAGGCTACAACAGCTACCTGCAGTGACGACTTGGCAGATAAAAACTTTTTGTCTGATGCAAATCTTGCCATGTTCTTCATGAACAGTTGAAAACCCTCTGCCCGGGACAGACTCTGTGGTGAATGTAATGGTGGTCTGGTGCTGAAGTTGCAGCGCTAGCACCTCGTTGGTTAAGTTGCAGCGCTAGCACCTCGTTGGTTAAGTTGCAGCGCTAGCACCTCGTTGGTTAAGTTGCAGCGCTAGCACCTCGTTGGTTAGTTGCAGCGCTAGCACCTCGTTGGTTAAGTTGCAGCGCTAGCACCTCGTTGGTTAAGTTGCAGCGCTAGCACCTCGTTGGTTAAGTTGCAGCGCTAGCACCTCGTTGGTTAAGTTGCAGCGCTAGCACCTCGTTGGTTAAGTTGCAGCGCTAGCACCTCGTTGGTTAAGTTGCAGCGCTAGCACCTCGTTGGTTAAGTTGCAGCGCTAGCACCTCGTTGGTTAAGTTGCAGCGCTAGCACCTCGTTGGTTAAGTTGCAGCGCTAGCACCTCGTTGGTTAAGTTGCGGCGCTAGCACCTCGTTGGTTAAGTTGCAGCGCTAGCACCTCGTTGGTTAAGTTGCGGCGCTAGCACCTCGTTGGTTAAGTTGCGGCGCTAGCACCTCGTTGGTTAAGTTGCGGCGCTAGCACCTCGTTGGTTAAGTTGCAGCGCTAGCACCTCGTTGGTTAAGTTGCAGCGCTAGCACCTCGTTGGTTAAGTTGCAGCGCTAGCACCTCGTTGGTTAAGTTGCAGCGCTAGCACCTCGTTGGTTAAGTTGCAGCGCTAGCACCTCGTTGGTTAAGTTGCAACGCTAGCACCTCGTTGGTTAAGTTGCAGCGCTAGCACCTCGTTGGTTAAGTTGCGGCGCTAGCACCTCGTTGGTTAAGTTGCAGCGCTAGCACCTCGTTGGTTAAGTTGCAGCGCTAGCACCTCGTTGGTTAAGTTGCAGCGCTAGCACCTCGTTGGTTAAGTTGCAACGCTAGCACCTTGTTGGTTAAGTTGCAGCGCTAGCACCTCGTTGGTTAAGTTGCGGCGCTAGCACCTCGTTGGTTAAGTTGCAGCGCTAGCACCTCGTTGGTTAAGTTCATCGCTAGCACCTTGTTGGTTAAGTTGCAGCGCTAGCACCTCGTTGGTTAAGTTGCGGCGCTAGCACCTCGTTGGTTAAGTTGCGGCACTAGCACCTCGTTGGTTAAGTTGCGGCGCTAGCACCTCGTTGGTTAAGTTGCGGCGCTAGCACCTCGTTGGTTAAGTTGCAGCGCTAGCACCTTGTTGGTTAAGTTGCAGCGCTAGCACCTCGTTGGTTAAGTTGCAACGCTAGCACCTCGTTGGTTAAGTTGAAACGCTAGCACCTCGTTGGTTAAGTTGAAACGCTAGCACCTCGTTGGTTAAGTTGCAGCGCTAGCACCTTGTTGGTTAAGTTGCAGCGCTAGCACCTCGTTGGTTAAGTTGCAGCGCTAGCACCTTGTTGGTTAAGTTGCAGCGCTAGCACCTCGTTGGTTAAGTTACAGCGCTAGCACCTCGTTGGTTAAGTTGCAGCGCTAGCACCTCGTTGGTTAAGTTGCAGCGCTAGCACCTTTTTGGTTAAGTTGAAACGCTAGCACCTCGTTGGTTAAGTTGCAGCGCTAGCACCTCGTTGGTTAAGTTGCAGCGCTAGCACCTCGTTGGTTAAGTTGCAGCGCTAGCACCTCGTTGGTTAAGTTGCAGCGCTAGCACCTCGTTGGTTAAGTTGCAACGCTAGCACCTCGTTGGTTAAGTTGCAACGCTAGCACCTCGTTGGTTAAGTTGCAGCGCTAGCACCTTGTTGGTTAAGTTGCAGCGCTAGCACCTCGTTGGTTAAGTTGCAGCGCTAGCACCTCGTTGGTTAAGTTGCAGCGCTAGCCCCTCGTTGGTTAAGTTGCAGCGCTAGCACCTCGTTGGTTAAGTTGCAACGCTAGCACCTCGTTGGTTAAGTTGCAGCGCTAGCACCTCGTTGGTTAAGTTGCAGCGCTAGCACCTCGTTGGTTAAGTTGCGGCGCTAGCACCTCGTTGGTTAAGTTGCAGCGCTAGCACCTCGTTGGTTAAGTTGCAGCGCTAGCACCTCGTTGGTTAAGTTGCAGCGCTAGCACCTCGTTGGTTAAGTTGCGGCGCTAGCACCTCGTTGGTTAAGTTGCAGCGCTAGCACCTCGTTGGTTAAGTTGCAACGCTAGCACCTCGTTGGTTAAGTTGCAGCGCTAGCACCTCGTTGGTTAAGTTGCGGCGCTAGCACCTCGTTGGTTAAGTTGCGGCGCTAGCACCTCGTTGGTTAAGTTGCGGCGCTAGCACCTCGTTGGTTAAGTTGCGGCGCTAGCACCTCGTTGGTTAAGTTGCAGCGCTAGCACCTCGTTGGTTAAGTTGCAACGCTAGCACCTCGTTGGTTAAGTTGCAACGCTAGCACCTCGTTGGTTAAGTTGCAGCGCTAGCACCTTGTTGGTTAAGTTGCAGCGCTAGCACCTCGTTGGTTAAGTTGCAGCGCTAGCACCTTGTTGGTTAAGTTGCAGCGCTAGCACTCGTTGGTTAAGTTACAGCGCTAGCACCTCGTTGGTTAAGTTGCAGCGCTAGCACCTCGTTGGTTAAGTTGCAGCGCTAGCACCTCGTTGGTTAAGTTGCAGCGCTAGCACCTCGTTGGTTAAGTTGCAACGCTAGCACCTCGTTGGTTAAGTTGCAGCGCTAGCACCTCGTTGGTTAAGTTGCAGCGCTAGCACCTCGTTGGTTAAGTTGCAACGCTAGCACCTTGTTGGTTAAGTTGCAACGCTAGCACCTCGTTGGTTAAGTTGCAGCGCTAGCACCTCGTTGGTTAAGTTGCAACGCTAGCACCTCGTTGGTTAAGTTGCGGCGCTAGCACCTCGTTGGTTAAGTTGCAACGCTAGCACCTCGTTGGTTAAGTTGCAGCGCTAGCACCTCGTTGGTTAAGTTGCAACGCTAGCACCTCGTTGGTTAAGTTGCAGCGCTAGCACCTCGTTGGTTAAGTTGCAGCGCTAGCACCTCGTTGGTTAAGTTGCAACGCTAAGCACCTCGTTGGTTAAGTTGCAGCGCTAGCACCTCGTTGGTTAAGTTGCAACGCTAGCACCTCGTTGGTTAAGTTGCAGCGCTAGCACCTCGTTGGTTAAGTTGCAGCGCTAGCACCTCGTTGGTTAAGTTGCAGCGCTAGCACCTCGTTGGTTAAGTTGCAGCGCTAGCACCTCGTTGGTTAAGTTGCAGCGCTAGCACCTCGTTGGTTAAGTTGCAACGCTAGCACCTTGTTGGTTAAGTTGCAGCGCTAGCACCTCGTTGGTTAAGTTGCAGCGCTAGCACCTCGTTGGTTAAGTTGCAGCGCTAGCACCTCGTTGGTTAAGTTGCAGCGCTAGCACCTCGTTGGTTAAGTTGCAGCGCTAGCACCTCGTTGGTTAAGTTGCAGGGCTAGCACCTCGTTGGTTAAGTTGCAACGCTAGCACCTCGTTGGTTAAGTTGCAGCGCTAGCACCTTGTTGGTTAAGTTGCAGCGCTAGCACCTCGTTGGTTAAGTTGCAGCGCTAGCACCTCGTTGGTTAAGTTGCAGCGCTAGCACCTCGTTGGTTAAGTTGCAGCGCTAGCACCTCGTTGGTTAAGTTGCAGCGCTAGCACCTCGTTGGTTAAGTTGCAGCGCTAGCACCTTGTTGGTTAAGTTGCAGCGCTAGCACCTCGTTGGTTAAGTTGCAACGCTAGCACCTCGTTGGTTAAGTTGCAGCGCTAGCACCTCGTTGGTTAAGTTGAAACGCTAGCACCTCGTTGGTTAAGTTGCGGCGCTAGCACCTCGTTGGTTAAGTTGCAGCGCTAGCACCTCGTTGGTTAAGTTGCGGCGCTAGCACCTCGTTGGTTAAGTTGCAGCGCTAGCACCTCGTTGGTTAAGTTGCGGCGCTAGCACCTCGTTGGTTAAGTTGCAGCGCTAGCACCTTGTTGGTTAAGTTGCGGCGCTAGCACCTCGTTGGTTAAGTTGCAACGCTAGCACCTCGTTGGTTAAGTTGCAGCGCTAGCACCTCGTTGGTTAAGTTGCAGCGCTAGCACCTCGTTGGTTAAGTTGCAGCGCTAGCACCTCGTTGGTTAAGTTGCAGCGCTAGCACCTTGTTGGTTAAGTTGCAACGCTAGCACCTTGTTGGTTAAGTTGCAGCGCTAGCACCTCGTTGGTTAAGTTGCAGCGCTAGCACCTTGTTGGTTAAGTTTGCAGCGCTAGCACCTCGTTGGTTAAGTTGCGGCGCTAGCACCTCGTTGGTTAAGTTGCAACGCTAGCACCTCGTTGGTTAAGTTGCAGCGCTAGCACCTTGTTGGTTAAGTTGCGGCGCTAGCACCTCGTTGGGTAAGTTGCAGCGCTAGCACCTCGTTGGTTAAGTTGCAACGCTAGCACCTCGTTGGTTAAGTTGCAGCGCTAGCACCTCGTTGGTTAAGTTGCAGCGCTAGCACCTCGTTGGTTAAGTTGCAACGCTAGCACCTTGTTGGTTAAGTTGCAACGCTAGCACCTCGTTGGTTAAGTTGCAGCGCTAGCACCTCGTTGGTTAAGTTGCAACGCTAGCACCTCGTTGGTTAAGTTGCAGCGCTAGCACCTCGTTGGTTAAGTTGCAACGCTAGCACCTCGTTGGTTAAGTTGCAGCGCTAGCACCTCGTTGGTTAAGTTGCAGCGCTAGCACCTCGTTGGTTAAGTTGCAACGCTAGCACCTCGTTGGTTAAGTTGCAGCGCTAGCACCTCGTTGGTTAAGTTGCAACGCTAGCACCTCGTTGGTTAAGTTGCAGCGCTAGCACCTCGTTGGTTAAGTTGCAGCGCTAGCACCTCGTTGGTTAAGTTGCAGCGCTAGCACCTCGTTGGTTAAGTTGCAGCGCTAGCACCTCGTTGGTTAAGTTGCGGCGCTAGCACCTCGTGGTTAAGTTGCAACGCTAGCACCTTGTTGGTTAAGTTGCAGCGCTAGCACCTCGTTGGTTAAGTTGCAGCGCTAGCACCTCGTTGGTTAAGTTGCAACGCTAGCACCTTGTTGGTTAAGTTGCAACGCTAGCACCTCGTTGGTTAAGTTGCGGCGCTAGCACCTCGTTGGTTAAGTTGCAGCGTTAGCACCTTGTTGGTTAAGTTGCAGCGCTAGCACCTCGTTGGTTAAGTTGCAGCGCTAGCACCTCGTTGGTTAAGTTGCAGCGCTAGCACCTCGTTGGTTAAGTTGCAGCGCTAGCACCTCGTTGGTTAAGTTGCAGCGCTAGCACCTCGTTGGTTAAGTTGCAACGCTAGCACCTCGTGGTTAAGTTGCAACGCTAGCACCTCGTTGGTTAAGTTGCAGCGCTAGCACCTCGTTGGTTAAGTTGCAGCGCTAGCACCTCGTTGGTTAAGTTGCAGCGCTAGCACCTCGTTGGTTAAGTTGCAGCGCTAGCACCTCGTTGGTTAAGTTGCAACGCTAGCACCTCGTTGGTTAAGTTGCGGCGCTAGCACCTCGTTGGTTAAGTTGCGGCGCTAGCACCTCGTTGGTTAAGTTGCAACGCTAGCACCTCGTTGGTTAAGTTGCGGCGCTAGCACCTTGTTGGTTAAGTTGCAACGCTAGCACCTCGTTGGTTAAGTTGCGGCGCTAGCACCTCGTTGGTTAAGTTGCAACGCTAGCACCTCGTTGGTTAAGTTGCGGCGCTAGCACCTCGTTGGTTAAGTTGCAGCGCTAGCACCTCGTTGGTTAAGTTGCAACGCTAGCACCTTGTTGGTTAAGTTGCAGCGCTAGCACCTCGTTGGTTAAGTTGCAACGCTAGCACCTCGTTGGTTAAGTTGCAGCGCTAGCACCTCGTTGGTTAAGTTGCAACGCTAGCACCTCGTTGGTTAAGTTGCAACGCTAGCACCTCGTTGGTTAAGTTGCGGCGCTAGCACCTCGTTGGTTAAGTTGCGGCGCTAGCACCTCGTTGGTTAAGTTGCAGCGCTAGCACCTCGTTGGTTAAGTTGCAACGCTAGCACCTCGTTGGTTAAGTTGCAGCGCTAGCACCTTGTTGGTTAAGTTGCAGCGCTAGCACCTCGTTGGTTAAGTTGCAGCGCTAGCACCTCGTTGGTTAAGTTGCAACGCTAGCACCTCGTTGGTTAAGTTGCAACGCTAGCACCTCGTTGG